TCACTTGACTAAAGAATCCAGGCTTAACGACTAGCAGAAGTCGAAAGGAAAAATAAGTGATGACAAGATTCACGACCACCGTGAAAACTGCATCGAATAGAATATTTGATTACTATTTTGGGAACAAAAATATTCCTTGGTCCCCAGAAGTCGACCGTCTCTTAGCCACCTCTACGCGTAATTCTTTGATCAAACCATTTTCTGGTCGGTAATAAAGCAAGAAGGATATTTAAATAGTTATCGCCTATGATGATCATGAACAGAAGTAGAGGGCACCACAATTGATGTAAAGTGTCAGCACCGATAGATGGGAATATGGCAGAAGAAAAGGCTGAACTTCAAGAATTCATGTCCTAAGTGCAGAGTACGATGTTCGAGCATTTACAATCTTCAACTTCTCTAAAGATGCATTTAACAGATCCTATTCGCTTTTTTTCAGTTACCACCCATGCCGACCAATTTCATGCCGAAGCATTTGCTCGGTAAATGTGGAACCCATGCCTGCAGTGAACGGATTTGAGTGAATCGCACATGAACACTAACTTGTTTTATAACATCAATAACAAATACTTAGCTCCCACATTGTTTTTAAGAAACGGCACAATCAGACCCAGTCACAAAATAAAAATGTCTCCTTCTGAGATCGAGCAAGTTATACAGTATTGACACAATAGCTATACAGGAATCAAGTTATTTTTGGAAAAGGTCTAAGTGCCATTTTCAATGAGTTAGTAGATCTCAGAGCTACGAAAGGTCAGAAAGATCAATCGTGGATCTATTTCAGTAGATGACTTTAGTCATTTTTGTGTACGATGTGAATTACTACTATTGATTGTACTACTATTGGTAGTCAACCCGTTGCTATAAGGTGTCCTATGTGTCGAGCTCAGGTCGTTACACGCTTGAATTATGTGAACGCTTCTGCTGCATGGTTAACATGCGCCATAATATCAACGTTTGGTGGAGTATTAGGTTGTTGCATTATTCCCTTTTATGTTGATTCACTGAAAGATGCCTGTCATTATTACCCAACGTGTAATGCACAAATTGGCATGAAAAACGTAATGTAATTACAATTATTACTATATGGTGTTGAGAGGCAAATACGAATAATTGCCGATTTTTATCTTTACTTGGTGTTTTTATAATCTCTTCCTATCGTTGTTGCTAATCAAAATTTATGCAGTGTTTCTTCTAAGAAAATTTTCACTATTTCTATGCAAACGTTTCATTTTGTTGTTGAATGTATTCGAAAAATTTTGCGATTAAAATCTGTGTCGCAAAATACTCTACAGAACCATACCTACAGTTGAATTTCAAAACTTCAATCAAGAAAACTACGCAAATTAGACAAAAGGCGAAAAAAATAAAAACCTTGTACATTAAGTATTATTTTCGACTTCAATTTTGTTCTTCTGCTATTATTTCCGTAAAAAAGTGTAGCAAAAGTGAGAACTCAGCTTGTTTTGTACTTTCAAATGTGTTCTTTCTCGTGGTCTATAAAAAATGTTTAAAACAGATGGTGTGTTCGAGAACGAAGTTTTAAAAATATGTCAGAAGTTGACAACAATGCGCCTAAGCAGGAAATTGAAAACATGATCAGACTTTTGATTTTTCCGTTAGTAAGAGAAGAGCAATCATTTCCGATCAAACATGTTTTGTTTTGATGGCGTTATGGAACTTTTACTGAAAGCCCCACCGTACGCAGAATTTAAAAAATTAATGAAAAATGCGTGACCACCGACACAAAAGTTATTATTTTTTGTGGGTTTCGATGTGAAAATATTTGCAGTTTAGCAAGAAGATAGAGCAAAGTCAAGGCTACAAAATGGCTAATTCAGCTTTTCTTACTTTCAAATCTTTCTTACTCATCATCCTAAAGACGATATTGTCTCTGTATAGTGTGTCACTTCTCAATGCAATTTGCGTAGTTTTCTTGATTGAAGTTTTCAAATTAAAGTTTAGGTATGATTCTGTAGAGAATTTCGTGGCGCATCTTTTAAAAAAAACATTAACCTTAAGAACATTAATTAAATAAGTTAACTAACTTACTAATGGTATCATTCTTTATGACGCACCCGTTAGATTTTCTTAGATGCACAACAGAAATTTATAATCGGTTTAGGTTATTTTTATACCAGGTAACAAGAGTTAATTGGGAAAACAATGAAAGAGGATGTCAGTGTCCAGCGTTGTTTTCCTGCTTAGGCGCATTGCAACGGTAAGAGGGATGTCAGAATATTAGTACGCAGTGTATTCTCAAAAGACAAGGCCAGCAAGCCCAGCACATTTTATAGAAATTTATATGTTTGCGTAGAATACGCAATGAATACGTATACAATTAAAGTAGCGTATCAAATTAAAGTTTAGGTATGATTCTGTAGAGAATTTCGTGGCGCATCTTTTAAAAAAAAAACACTAACCTTAAGAACATTAATTAAATAAGTTAACTAACTTACTAATGGTATCATTCTTTATGACGCACCCGTTAGATTTTCTTAGATACACAACAGAAATTTATAATCGGTTTAGGTTATTTTTATACCAGGTAACAAGAGTTAATTGGGAAAACAATGAAAGGAGATGTCAGTGTCCATCGTTGTAAGCCGTACAATAAGTGTAAGAAAAAAAGGATATAATATTCTTTTTCGTACACGTACGCCAAGAACAACCACTTAGGGTCAACCAAAAATATACCGAAGTTCGGTATTGGTATTTTCAGTATTCGGTATACCGATACCGGTGCATCCTTACCGACCCTAGAGGTCGCTCACATTCATTTTCTGATTTCCCATAGTCGAATACCTGTTACATATTGTTTTCTTCCAACAAAGTTGAGATACGCATTTTGACCAATAGAATAGATCCCCGAGGTCGGTACTATTTGTTTGGGTAGCATGCATAATGCAAATTGTTATTGTTTCTTGATTGTATGAGCACTAGCTAGTTGACGTGCCCCAAACAAATCATAAGTTTCATGTTTGATTCGTGTTAACTCAACGACTATTTTGTGTAATGCTGTGAAATTAATATTTCTCATCTCAATCCAATGTTTCATCGTAGATAAAACGATGAAGTTGTTTACAATTGATCTTCAGATGTCACAACTGGCTTTGATCCGCCGACACGTGATGATCAACAAAAACTAATCGTTGTAGCAATGAGTAAATGTCGATCGTTAATAACACTAACAAATACGTCATCCATATTGTCAGTTTATAATAATAATCTGAAGCATGAATTCAAAATACAGCGTTCTTCAGGCTTCCTAAAACTGAGCAGTAAAGCTTTTGGTTTATAAACTAAAACAGCTGCATCATTGATATGGGTGTGGTACGTCAAAAGCGAAGTTCGCGTTCGTAGCTACACGATTTCTCCATGACGGAGTGATGTATAGAGCTCAGATTGGTCTTAAAATGAGATAACACATGTGGCTTTTTGATATTTAGTCTAGATTTGTGGTTAGGAAAACATCTTTGTATAACTTAATGAGAGTTTTTCGAATTGTGACTTCGCTAAAATTAATTATACGGAAAGAGTACGTACAATCATAGGGTAAACATTTCCTGAAAGTATAGTCCAGATCGGACTTTTAGTTACCGAAATACGTTTCAGACGGGGAGGAAGGGCCTTAAAATAGAGGGTAAAAGGCAGATTTTATATAGTTCATAGGATGGAGGATTCGTTCTTGCACCAAAGTAGAAAACTGTTGATAATCTGACTTTGGTGCAAATATCCATGTTCATATAAAGATAATACTTTTGTGACCTTATGACTTTTTCCAAGAAAAAACGCATCGTTTTCTAGAAATTTCTTTTCTACAAGAAAGAACCAGAGGTTGTGAAATTTTTTTAAAAGGACATTCGGAAAGAGCACATTCGAATGCATCCATTCATAGGGTTTTCCACTTTTAACACATTTTCCGAAAGAAAAAAAAGAACGCACAAGTTCAGGATTGTAACCTGCCTTATCAATCTTTCTAGTACGGTAGATACATGCTCAGAATTCTATGAGCTTAGGATACCTGACCTCAACCGCGAACTTGAAAACTCAAGGGTCGAATCTATAATTCCTGAGAAAGAACATGAGCCTTTTTGGCCTAAAAGTTCAAAAGGAGCATCGTAGACAATATGTAAGAAAATTAAATTCACACTAACATCGGGAAAGATATGACTTCACTTTTGCTTATTCGTTCTAGCTCTATCTTTCCTGTCTATGCAATGAGAAGTAGAATAACAGTGAGCTTTCTAAAAACCAGAAAGAGCCATATGAGGTTTAGAAAATTGTTGGGATTCTCGTCTATAAATTTCCGTAGATAGATCAGGACACAAAAAGAAGTTGTTTCTGGTTTTCGGTTGTAAAAATAAAAATGTTATTTTTAGCCTCTTTTAATATAGATAGATTATAATCAAATTTTTTCCTGAAGTCCATATTAAAAAGTTTGACCTGTATAGCAGGGATGAGTGAATTTCACCAAAATCTGCATGTTAGTAGTTTACCAGGGTAATCTACTGTGCATCAGTACTCGGGTGCAATCAACAAAACGAGAGAACAAGTTGATGCAATAGAAGGAAAAGCAAACTTTACTCTGCGTACCATAGGCATCCAACGATATTGGTTACCGCTTTTACTGTACCTTACCGTTTTAACGTTCGTTATGAATGATTAAGAAATTTATTAGAAAGTGAGATTATGTAGAAAGTGTATTGATGCCGATATTTTAACGGTGTTTTCTTTCTTCTTTGGCGTTTCTTTCTATATTTTATTGGCTCAAAGATCAATAGAGTAGATTCAAATAGTGTTTTGATTTCTTAAAGAAATCAAAACACTATTTCAATATACTCTATTGACTTGATACATCTCGTTGCATATGCCCACACGTCCGATTTTCTTTTCTGTACTTGTGATTTATTTGGTTGAAGTTTTTCTGTTTCAGAATCAGTATCATGTGTTATAGCTGATGAAGATAGTTGATCAGAATTTTTTGGAATAATATTTTTCTAAGATTGCTTATTTATCTTTTGATTATTATCTGTTGTTTTTGGTGCTGATTTTGACGTTGATTTTGGTTTCGGTACTGCTTTTAGTGTTGGCACTGGTTTTGGTATTGAATTGCGATATATAAATAAATTTATTTTATCGTCAAAATCAGGAGAATCAAATCTGATGGATGATGATGGTACAGTCGGCTTTGGTGTTATAGCTTTAATGGATTTTTGCACATCAGTTTTAACGGCTCTTTGTTTTTCTTCGACTACAGGTGATGTTTTCTCAACTGTCCTTGGTTTTTGGATTGTAGCTGATTTTCGAATAGTTGTTCTTTTTTTAATAGGCGGTGAACTCTTGACTAATGATTTATTTTTATGTATCAATGGTAGAGTTTCGAACAGAAGAGGGTTTGTCTTTTACACTAAGGACACTGTCCAGCACTCAACCACCTGCGTGAAATATCAGCCAGGTATCATCTCCTTCGATTCTTGACTAGTATTCCAATTCCAAAGGATTCATTTAAAGCTTACGACAAGACTTCCCCAGTCGTCTTTGCGACTCGTATGACCTTGAGAACACAGATCAGTCTCTGCATTTTTTCTACGAAGAACAACTCGCCCGGACAAAAAGCACTAGATTGGGGAACTTTGTTCCATTTGAAATGGCTTTGATTAAAACGATTCAAGGTTCGGATAACTCGAATGGCATCTCCTGCTTCTCAGAGAAAGTAATGGTAGGACTATGCAAAATTGCGCCGATTTTTCGTCATCTCATACTTAACTTTTTATGCGCTCTTTTAGACTTCTGTCCTCATTATTATCCGAGCGTATAGAAAACAGCACTTAGTGTCTGAGATCTTGATCGTTCTTTAATAAGCGATAAGACTGTTACGATTTGTACATTGATGAGTAGCTTGAAACTGGGCTGTTAATGCAACATCATGAACAACAAGGAGGCACCCAATCTTTTAGTACCGATTTCGAAGTCTACGGATGAACACAAATGCAGGTCTATTTTATGAAGATTGTTTGCTGTGTTAGACAGAAAAATTATTTTAGCAGTCCCCTAAAGGCAAGGGTGTCTACCAACTGTTCAATTTAGATGACGCTTGGGAGAAGAGCAAATCGAATTTTGAAAAAAAGAAAAAAATGGCGTTCGAGGATTGATCAATATGAAATGGAAGTGAAACTCCGCTAGGAATCAAACAAGTGCATTTTCCTCATCCTGGATCCAAAGAAGTTCTCGTGCAACTAATTGTATGCATAATCAGTCATTTAGACCTACATAGAACTCGCCCACGTGAGAACGCATGATGTACATGTCAACGACGTGAATACGAGATTAGTGGTGGTTTTCCCCGACTTCATCGTCTCACGACGACCACTACGAAAAACTTTAGTACGACTCCTTCAAATGATCCAAACATTCGTTCGCTTAACATTCAATTTCGAATGAATACGGATTACTTTGATAGTCTCGAAAAAAGTGCCAATCGGTTTATGGCTTAAAGGTGCTTTTATCAATAACTTATAACGGTTATTATCTTTAAGCAATATCTTGACGCCGTCCCAATTTATTGTATGACCAGCATGTAAAATATGTCGTGCGAGAGCTGATTTGCTCTTAGAAGTGGTCAGAGAAATAGAGGAAGATGAATAAGAGTTAAAGTTAGATAATTATTATCATCATCGTTAGAGGCGAGAGGATAGCTAAGAATTTTAGTATCTTTTTTGTAACTTCGCTGTACGCGAAGGACGTCGCAAGTTTAACGAATTAGAGTAAGCTGTCATTCTTCGTTTAGTTCTTGTGCTCCTTATAAATCTGGAAGCACTTTGTTTTAGAGGTAATGAGATTGGAAGTGGGGGGGGGGATGCGCTAGATTTGAGAATACATTTAGGTGCACATTTATACTAAATCGATTCAGTATTCGACAAAAAAGCTTGCGGTTGCGTCATTTTATACGAGACACTTTAAAGTATTGTGTCTTGATCGTGTATCGTTACCAAGATACATGTGTTGAAAAATGATCGATGGTGCAGATAATGTAATAAACTACCAATGTCTGATGTCTATTTAAGGATGTGTGTGGTGCATCTGTTTCTCCAAAAATCAAAGTGAAAATATATCATATTTTTTGACGAGTAAATAGTGCAAGTGTCCTTACTCGAATGAAAGGCAACTCGTGGCAATATTTATTTTTTAGCAAAATGCTGGAACTAGTGAAAATTGACTTTTTCTGAAATCACTCGTTTAAGGTAATTATCATCTAATATTAAAAAATTCATTCCTGCATCAAAATTGATCACAGCTGTCTGAGAGCTTCAGAAGAGTCATTGTTTTGAGGACGAGGATAGAAGAAGTGAAGTAAAAAAGACATTTCTGCTACAGGTTTTTTAGAAACTGAGACAGAAACCCAAAATCTTTTCTTGCAACTTTTCTCGTTTTCTTGTTAAATCGGACGTACAGCAGTTCGAATTCAATATCTTCTGAAGCTCTCAGCCCGTGATCAGTTTTGACGGAGGGGTGAATTTTTTCATATTAGATGATAATAGCCTAAAACGAGGGTCCAAGCGTCAAAACAAAAATCTAGTAACGCCCGATTCATCTAGATTACTAGAATTTTACTCGATTGCAACTATGGGTAACTACGGCGGAAATCTGGTGATCAGGCGATTGTCAGACTTCTTCTAGTTGAAATTATTTGATTTATCGCCCGAAAATCTATCCATGTAACTCTTGTTAGTGGCGCATGCAGATGCATCTGGTTAAAAGTCCCTTTTCCAACTAGTAATCTAGATGGCAACTAGGCGTGTATCGCCCGATTACCGACGAGATATCTAGAATGTTTCCATAGGTGATGTTTGCTTGGGTAATTCCACAAAAAGTCAATTTTCACTAGTCCCCGCAGTTTTCTAAAAAATAATCATTGCCACGAGATTCGGCGTAGTTGATTACCTGTGTTTTACCTAATTTTCAGCTAAGAAAAGCCAATATAGTCGTCTGAAGCGTTGAAGATCAAGGTATTGATTGCCTTCCATTCAAGTGAGGACTCTTTGCACTATCTACTTGTCAAAAAATATACTACGGGGTGGCCCAAAAGTGGCTTTACCGAGGTAGACACACAGTATTCAGTACATTTTCATTTTGATTGAGTTCGTTTTTATACCAAAAGATTCCCCGTTGAATTCTCTACAAAAAACGTATTGTCTGTTTTATTGCAAAATCCGAAGATGCAGAATGCCATGAGAAATTGTAAGAAGTACCAAAATGTAGAAAAAATAAACGTGGTTAACAGTTATTTTTAGTATTATCTGCTAAAAGTTTGTGAGAGAGGAAAACTGAAGTAGTCATCGTGTACACCTCGAAAAGCTGCATTTTTATCTATAATTTAAATAATTTTCAGTTAGAACTGAGGGCACAAGAATTTCATTGTTTTTTACCATTTTTCAAAAAATGACGATTTACCAGTAATTTTAGTCTTCTAATAAAACAAATAAAGATTAGTCAAACTTGATCCATTAAGGTTGATTTTTTAATTTTGAAAAAAAGTGATTAGTCATTATGATCGGATCTCTAAGATTTGGAAAAAAATTTCTTTTGGTCCATCGCACAAAAAAAAGGTGACAACTTTTGCTATTTTCACTTGATCGCTGTGAAGTTAATTTTTGTGTCGGATATTTAGATTTAAATGATTTTCGCTCTACATGACGAGAAAGAGCATACTTGAAACTACACAAAACTATACTGGAACTATATTTTAATGCTTGTGAAATCATTCGAAAAAGTTTCACTATCTTCCGTTTATTTTTTCTACATTTTGGTACTTCTTACAATTTCTCATGGCATTGTACATCTTCGGATTTTGCAATAAAACAGACAATACGTTTTTTGTAGAAAATTCAACGAGGAATCTTTTGGTATAAAAGCGAGCTCAATCAAAATAAAAATGTACATAATAATGTGTCTACCTCGGTAAAGCCATTTTTGGACCACTCTGTATATTCCTGGTTTGATTTTATAGCAAACAAATGCACCACACACACCCTTAAATAGACACCAGACAGCGACAACTTATTATCTTATTCTGTACTATCCTATTGAATATGGAAAAAAAACTGGAAGAAAAAGGCATATGGTAAAAGAAGTATTCCCACACACCTCTCTTTTTTTAATTTCAAATCACATCTCACATGCGTAGATGCTGCCTAAACTTGATTTCAGGAGAACTAAAGGAAAATGGTGAAATAACGCGAATGGCAAGCGACGAATAGTGTTCATTTGTGTTAGTAATCTCTACTACCCTTTAGTTCAGTTGCTAGGCTATCTGTTAAGTAATAATTACCATCTCAGTCTCAGTTCCTGTTTACCTTTCAGCCCGTACTACTTTTCACTTTAAATTTTAAAATCGTATCTTGCGACAATTCATTAGAAAATTAGGTACTTTTGCCGCGCAGCACCACATTAGATAAAAATTGGGCGCTAGGTGCAAAATTTTTCGGTGAATCCGACAGCGGGTTCCATATAATTTATAATTGTCATCTTT